GCTGCAAGAATTTCAGTTTCCATTGAGGAGAGGGAAACTGACATCTGTGCACGACTGTGACTGCGCACACAGCATGAGTTCACGAAGATGAGGCCTGATGACGTCGATTTTCTCGTCACCTTGCAACTTGCCCAATCGCTGCCACTGTAGAGCTCAACCTCATAAGGTTTTCCATCACGCCTTTCATCAACACCATTCCACCGAGTCAACGTAGAGGTGAAATATTCAGTTTTTGGGTAGTGCATCTTCATGTCCTGGGTTTGCACCAGGTAACGCCCAAGTTGTCTCAGCGCACACAGTGAGGTTTGCACCAAAAGGTCCACCTTTCTTCAGCATCAACTTCTCTGAAAGCTTGTTGAAGATCTCCTCTGTCCTCTGTGTCTTCCTTGTTTGCCACCAAAAGCAAATCATCAATGTGAGCAGAAATGAAGATTTCTCGTTCACGATGTCAAAAGATAGCTCTTTACAAAGTTCAGCTCCTCCAGCAACTGTGTCAAGTGGTCGTTCCACCTCGTAGCTGCATCGCGTTGACCTGGCAGGCATTTTCGAAGTTGCCAAAACATCAGGCTGATGTCATTTGCTGCCACTCTCACCCAATTGGGTACTGAAACCACCACGTTTTCCTTCTGCCAAACTTGAAGAAATGCATCACTGACATCCAATGCAGACATCATCAACTTTTGCACCAGTGAGATCACCATGAAGACTTTCACCAAAACCAACCAAAGGTGTAGTAGGGCTGAATGTCTCCTCTGTTGATGCGCTTTGTCCTCTGAATTCTCTCGCAACCATTCTTGCCCTTCTTGTCCAACACCCTTGCCTGAAACTCCAATCTCTCACCAGCTTCGTGTCCAAACGCAAAGTTTGAGGCACGTCCAAACCAGCTTGCACATCACTGATGACTTCCAATTGTCTCAATCTTTCCAACTCAGCGTACATGGCCTGTTTGTCTAGGTAAGCCAGCTCTTCAGCGCTAACTTGAGGAGGTCCTGCATTCTCATTTTGGAATCCTCTTTGGTTTTGAAACAGCGTGTGGCAGACCCTGAAGGAGTCAAAAAACCCACAGGAAATCAACCTTCAACACAGGGAAAATTTGTGAAGTTTGACCACACCGAGACTGAGGAGCAGAAGGCGAAGCACTCTCGTACTGGTAGCATGTTCAACCCAACTTTTGCAGGTGATTTGATTTCAAGTCCTGCGGCAGCAACATCAAGTCCCTCTACTACAACTGGTCATGTACGCAGAATCACTGAGGAGATTGAGCTGTATGATGAGGATGAAATTGAAGAAGAAATCCTACTTGAAACATGGGATTGGGACGTCAATGATCAATTGCTGGATGGTGACTTCTCAGAGCACGAGATTTCCGAGGTGGACAAGGCCAATAGGAAGTGCTAGCTCCTGTTCACGGTCTCTTTTCGCTGCCTCGGCTATCATTCGTTCAAATTCTGCATCAGGGATTTCAGGTAGTTTGTTGTCCACTGCTTGAAGTTCTTGTGGAGGAAGTAGGGGTTCACCTGCTTCCTCTTTGTCGTCATCTGGATGATCTTTGGCATATTTGCTCACCGCCTCCTCGTCAATAAGTCAATGTTTTGTTCTGGTTCAACTTCACCTTCAGCTCCATGTAGACGAGGTAGAGGTCGTGCAAGAGGTTTGGATAGTTTGAGAATTGTTTGTGTTCCACGTCGAAGATCCCAAGGTCCAACTTCCATACTGATCAACATAGCTGCATCCCAATGCTCTGATTTTTTCCTCACAGTTTTGTTCCTCAGAACTTCGCGGGAACCAACCACCACAATGTCATGGTCTGCTTCATCCTTTGTCATCCAACATCCTCTTCTCCATTGACATTGATATGTCTTTCGAAGAGAATCCAAAGTGTAAACTTCTTCTCCAAATGCACAAACTCGACCTTTGTAACGACGTCCCCGCACAGCCATGTAGGCAGTCACACCATTTCCTGAAGTCAGATGACAACGATTCAGCAACCAACCAGCATGAACCATTGCCCATCCACGCAACACATGATCCTCTGGAATCTTCATCTGCATCTTGCCCTCCAGGAATGCAACCAAACATTTTCCTTGCGTTCTGACTGTTTGGATTGTTCTCTCTGCCAAACTTGTGCGGGATTTGGAGTACATCTTTCCAGGTTGAGGCGTCATCGGGAGTCCTTGGGTGGAACGGATCACATGGGTCATGCTGACACCTGCGCTCAAAACTGGTTCATTGTCGTAGCTAACTTCCACAGCATCAAAGTAGGAAAGGTTGGAAAGGAATCGAGCCAGGATTGCACCAATCACACCAGCATTCTTGTTACGCAGAGGTTCGACACCAACATACTTGGTCCAGACATCGACCATCAGGAGTACGCCCATGTAGTTCGGCATGGCAAAGAGGCCAACCTGAACTGTAGGAAAGGTTCTCGTTGCCCTTTCATCTGGTGTTGACCGATGCTTGTGGTACCCTCTGGATTTGGCTTGTACGCAAAATGCACACCAAGCACGAAATGGCAAATGGGTCACCCCTTGCAATTTTCTCTCCGCAGCACTTGGTTGTTTTGGTGCATCTGTGAATCGAGGTCTTGGATCCAGAGTTTCATATTCTTGTCGTGCAACTTCCAACGCTTGCATCTTCAGTGCAGTAAAGTGGTCCTCCTTGACCTTGGTGAAGATCTTCTGTTTGGAACCTGATGCTGACACCTTCAAGAATTTTGCTCTTCTCAACTTCTCGACTGAACTGCTTGCAGTCAATTCTTCTTCTCCAACTACCACTGTGTTTGCCGATTCTGCTTCATGCAGTGCAGGTCCAAGTTGTTGGAACTCAGGGATTTTTCTGCCCTGAATGTCTTCATCTCGAACTGCATCACCAATGTCTGCTCCTTGAACTTCGTCACCACTGGCATCTGATCCAAGAGGAGTTCCAGGTTCGTAGACGACTTCAAGGTGTTGTCCACCTTTGATCAAGCATGATCAAACAATCCACCAAAAGCTAAGGTTCTGGTTCTCCTTCGCCAAAATTGTCAGGATTGTCACCGGCTCTCCATTCGCATAGGCCTCGATTTCAGCAATTCGACCAAAGGGGTCGTCCAGCTCCAAAAATCTGCGACTGATTTCAACCACGCACCATCCATGATCTTCATCTGATGTAGACCTGCGATAATTAACTATAGCAGGCCAAACCAAAGTAGGGTCAATGAAGTTTTCCCCAACACTGCGCATATAGGGGTTGCCATCCACATTGGTCGCCCAGCGATTGTAGCGCAAAACTTTTGGCCTGAACTTGTCTTCCATCTCCACCACGGCACGCACCATCAAAGAATCAGGTAGATCCACATTGGTTTTTTCCACTCGATAAACTTCAGTTTTGATTGCAAGAGAGTTTCTGACGAAGAAAACTGGGAGACGCAGGGCATGATCCGGCGATTCCAAAACCGGTCCATTGTTGCGAGTTGACCCAAGCTGAGGATAGCAACCTTCAGTTCTTGTCCTTGGCAATCACGCAGTTGTACTTGAGCATCATCTGCTGGTCCGTCAACGCCACCACCATAGGAGAGAGGTGGAAGAGAAACATCTGAACGACTGTCTAAAATGACCACATTTTTCTCGTCCTTCACATAGTTCTCAAAAACCATGCGCACTGATGATCCCGAAGCCATACTTGCAGGAATGCCATAGATCCTTCTGATTGTTGTTGCCGTAGGGTTCGATGGAGGATAACTGCTCTATGCATAGGAACGCCGTTGTGTTCCACCTTGAGTTTGTTGTTGTTGCTGTCCTTGAGTTTGAGGTTGTTGTGCAGGAGTTGCATTGTTGATGACCTGGTTTGTCATCCTGTTGGGACACTCCCTGCTCCAATGACCATACTCAAGTCATAGACGACATTGTTGGGAATCTATTCCTTTGCCTTTTTGGCCACCTTTCTTTCCACTGTCGTTTGGTTTTCCTTTTGACGTTCCTTTCTCCTTACCCTTGCCTTTGCCTTTGTTGCCACGACCTTTGCCGCATCCTCGTCCACGGCCAGAAAATCCATAGCTACCAAAACTCAACCAACTCTTGCCCTTGGACTTGCCCTTATTGTTTTTGCCTGTATACTTTTCCTTTCTCATTTTGCAAACAGCGAAGTTACACGGTGGGTGCGTATTGGGCTCAAAAACACAGGTGGTGACAACACAGTACTGTTGACTCGGTCACCTCACTTTTTCCTCGAGTAGCACGGATGTGCTAAAAAGGGGCTGCGGTCACGTCAAGTGTCTTACATGACATGACATCTCTACTCCTAGCTAGCTACTTAGTTCTGAACTAGGTGTTTTACCCCTAGCAAGTTGCCACCCTCCTTAGAGTGGACTTGTCGGAGTGAGACGCTACTGGTGAGACGTCCCTACATCCCCAGGAACCGGTCTTCAGCCCGTCTCCATTCTTCGAATTCTGCCGGAGACATATGGGCGAACGGGTCGCTCCGCTCGATGCTGGCTGCATCGGCTTCGCTTTCCGGTTCCCGGGTCGGCGGGTCTGCCCGCTCAGGCGGAGCTGCCCGATGTTCAGCGGTGCTGCCCGCGCTGGCTGGTGCCGCCTCGGACTCACTTGACTCAGAGTCCTGGGGGTCCGACATGCCGCCGGGATGCTCTCCTCGTAGGAGAGACTCTTCTTGGTTGCGCCAGTCGATCAACTCCTGCATGGTCATTCTGGCCTCTGCGGCTTCTTGGACCCAACGTTCCTCATGCCACCTCTCGATCCCTCGAGGGGTAAGTTCCTCAGGAGACCGCGGGGCTACCGCTGGTGTCCGCGGGTTTGCCGCCGGCTCTGACCGCGGGGTTGCCGCTGGCGCTGGATTGGTCAGCGTTAGCTGCTGATTGTTTCTGATGGCAGTCACCCTGAGTCGCAAGGTGATCTGCTGATCTTGGATGTGCAATTGCACCTCATGGCCTGTTTCTTGTGCTACTGGCTCGATTGGACATAACCAGTCCACACAACAAGCGATGAACTGTTCTGCCAGTTTCCATATCAGCACACACGTGCCGATTGCGGCCAAGAAAAACAATGCATACCATTCGTATGGGGACAGGCAGTATGTTGGCTGCCCTGCCACAGCCTGAACTTGGCTCAGGACAACAAGTGCCTTGATGCACCCGACCAGTTGTCCATTTTGCCGATAGGCCGTGGCGGTTCTTCCCGCTCGATCTTGGTCTTTGATCCAACCAACACAAGCTGGCGTAGGAGTCTTCCACGCATGCTGCTTGGTCACGGTTGAGACCTTGACAGAGATCTTCTTGCTCGAAGAGAGCATATCTTCTCCGTCACGAGCTTCATACATGCCTAAACCAGGCATTGCTTGCCTTACTTCCGTTCCACTCTTTGGGTGTTTGGTGAGGAAGTTGGCACAATTCACGGTGCCCTTGACCTTGCCCAAAGCTATCTGCTTGGACTGCAAAGCTCCTTGCACATAGAACTCACAGACTTCTAGGTGTCTGAGCTTGGAACCTGGTCCAATGCGCTTGGAAGCTTGCATTGCCGATGAACTGTCCGTCCATAGGCGGGGCTTACCGCACTGCTGGCCAAAATCTCGGGTGATCAGCTCCTTGAGGAAGATGGCTTCCCGAGCTGCCCTCGAAACTCCCCTGAGCTCTGCGTCCGGCGAACTTGTCGCTGGTAGGCCCGGTTGGGTCTGTGTGCCACATGCGACGATTGCACCACACACAGCTGCTATGTAACAGTCGGTGCTTCGCCGTGTTTCTAGGCATCCGGCCCAATCCGAATCGCTATACAATTCGCATGGCCACTCTGAGCTACAGTTGGGATCACAGGTTGTGACTCGGCCAACATGTGGGTGCGACTGCAAGTATGCCGCAAGGGTCTTGACGGCTTGCATGTCACATTTTCGCGGTTGCGACATGTGTCGCGCTGCTTCTTTCACCGCGTACTGGATCTCCCTCCTGTCCAGCGACAGGTAGATCGCTGATCCTACTGCCGAGCGATACAGCTTGGCATCTGCCTCGCCAAGAGGCTCCGTTTCTAAGAGGTTCAGTTGTTTGGAAGGAACCTCACTGCGGTCTCTGGCGGAGATTCCCGCAGCAGCGATGACAGCTTTGATGTGCTTCTCATCTGGTATCGTGATGATAGCATCTTTGGTTCGTACCTTGGTGCGACCCAGGTACTCAACAGCTGTTCCTTCGCTTTCGAGCTCTCCTGCTTGGACCTCACAGTGTTTCGGCATTTCGACTTCAACCAGGTGGTTGACAGCCTCTTTTGGTCCAGCCATACGGATGTCGTCTATGTGGTGAATCAGGATGATCCCTGACTTGTCACAACGGAAGACACATGGATCCTTCTCACCACGAGAGAAAGAATACCGCTGTGGATCAACCTTTGAGCAGAGGATTTCCTCCAGCTCATTTCTGTAGACGGATCCGGCTGTCCTTCTGCCGTATAGGTTTCCATCCAACCTGAAGAAAAGTTCTTTGAACGATTCCTTGTACCAATCCTTCAATTCGGGGCTGAGAGTTTCTAGCCACTCAAGGAAGATGTCGTGCCATTCAACTGGTGCACGCATGTAGACATGCTTCCCTTCGCTGGCTCCTCGGTCAGCTCCAATCAAGAAGGCTGCGACGATGTCCAGACTTCGGGCGTAGTAACCCTTTGTCAGAGCATAGACCTCCAGAAGATTGTGCGCTTCTGGGGTAGGAGTTGGAACGAACACGTCCAATCCCTCCTCCTCGGCTGCTGTGTAGCGAGCCTTGACGTCAGCGCATGTGAAACGCGACTTGTATGCTCCTTTGGAACACTTGTCAACCCATTTGTGTGAGAAGATTTGTGAACCTTTTGGGATTTCTTGGCGGTGCACGGGTGTGAAGGCACCTCGCTCCCAAAGCTTTTGAAGTTGGACTTTTCGCGCTTTGGTGACCTCCTCTGGGTCGAGCAATTGGTCGACGAAATCCGTCACATTGGCTATCCTTTGCAAAGCCATTGGATTGCTCTTGTCTTCGGAGTTGGCCCATTCTTGGATATGGGACCAGATCTCGTGATTTGTTAAATGCTGCAAGACACCTGCTTGCCTGGACTGCTTGGCTTCAGCTTGTCCGGGTGCAAGCGCTGCCTGATCATCCCTTACTCGCTTCCCTCCTTGACCAAGTCCGCTCGGACTCATCGGTTCGTCCGGGAGGCTCTGAAGCGACGATGACCATCCCGCACCTCGGAAGGGCGGAGGCTGCCCGCTCGGCCTTGCTGCCGGCGGAGGATCTGCAGCTTCAGATCTTGCTGGCGTGGTGGGCACGCAGCTAAGCGCGTCGTCGTCGTCCGCGGGGATACCCGCTGGGAAGTCCTCGGCTTGGTCGCCAAGTAGGTCTTCCAGCTGGGCTGCGGCTTGCACGACTAACCCATCCTGGTCAACGTTTTGACCATCTTCTGCCAGTGTCGGATGTTCTTCCTCTGGGGGTTCTGATGCCAGCGCGGTGGGACCCGCTGCGGCTGGCGCTGGGAGTGCCACTGGCTGTGACAGCTCTCTGTTGATCTTGTGCCTCATCCCGTCGCGGGGTTGCCAAGGAATTCCTTTCATGTTGTTCATCAGCTCTTGACTGATCTGCGATTCCTTTGGCAGTCTTCTCACCGATCTCACGGCGATTGCCCCAGACGACGTGCCGAGCACATTGCTGTCGTCTCTGTCCAGCTTACCTAGCCATATGCCTTTGATGCACCTTCGCTGCATCTTGCCCCTCGGGGTCGGTACTTTACCAAGAACTACTTCGCCTAGCATGGCGACTGGGTGCGAGTAGTCGCTGCCAGTTGTCAGGCGATAGGGCGTGAGCCCATCTTTTCCTCTCACATGGAAACGTGCTATCAGCCATGCCGCGTGGCGCACAAGCCACGGTGTCAAGTTGGTGGACACATCCAAGGAAGGATACCGCTTCCTGACGTCGAGCCACAAAGCTCGGATTTGGCCTGCTACAAACCCATTCATGGATTCCACAGCTCCTTGTGATTGGTGCTGCTTGGGCGGAGACTCCCGCACAGAGGCTCGGCTGGATCCAACATGTCTTTGGATTGACTCAGCCAGTGCTCTGATCGAGGGCTCGCCATCATGCTGTAGAATGACTTTGTTGTACCCAAGGTTCTTCAGGTAGAGGTCCACATTTTGCAGACAGTACCTGGGCTGGGCTATCTCGGTTGACTTGTTGGGAAGTTGAAGTGCCAGCGGCCAACCTGTCACCGTGTCAGTCAGACACAGGATTGTGACCAGCCTTGACTCATCTTCAACCTCTTCCTCCTTCTCAGGAGAGAGAAAGAAATAATCCATTTGGATCAACCCTGTTCCCTCACGCGTTGAGGATTGATCCCTCCTATGCCAATCTTGTTTGGCCTTACCCGGCACGCACTCTTCACACCATGGTTGAAACGGTACGTGTGTAAGGCGATGGGATTCCACCTGCGCCTCAGTGGGGCTTATAGGTTGCGACAACCCCTCTGGCTCCACAGGTGGCGGGGCTTCCGCTTCCTCCTCCAGGTCTGCCAAGAGACCGGGGTCTTGTTCCAGAAGCTCCTTGGCCTTTCTCACTTCTTCTTCATGCCTGGCATATTCTTGCACTGCCTCGGCTTCTTCATCTTCTTGCATGGCATAGGCTTCAACTGCCATTGCATCTTCATCGATGGCTGCCACCTTGCCATATCTGCTGGTAGGTTGCTCCAACTCTTCAAACGGAAGGAGAAACTGTTTGCCCTGCCTGGCAAACGTGGCTTTCCTGCCATCTGCACATTGGATGTAGCAGTTGTCACTTTCAAAGTGGACACTGGCTCCAATGTCCAATGCCCTGTTGACTGACAGGATGTTTTCGTTCACACCTTCAACCACCTGAAAGGTGACTCGAGTTTCTTCTTTGAGCTTGTCTCCAAGCCTGAGCTGAGGGCGGATTTCCCCGCACGCCTTCAGTGGAGTGTCATCCACCGTGTATAGTTCCTCAACGGCGTTGGGGTCCAAGAGAGCACTTGGAAAAGCCTCAAGTCTACACACTGAAGAGCAGGCTCCTGTGTCCACCAGCAGTGTGCCTCTGCTGGCAACCTTGGCCACTCGTGCAGTGTCACTTCTTTGGAAGACTTGAAGTGCCCATACCCTGGTGCCTTGAAACGTCTCGCGTGGCTCATGCAGGAGCTTCCATTTCTTTCTGAACTCCTTGCAATCCCAGGCGTTGGACTCTTCATTCCACTGCCACGTTGACCTAAACGTGTAGCCAGGATACCGCGACCCTGGTGTAGCATACTTTCGTGTGGCACCATTCTTGCCTTTCACCACAAACACCTTGGTGTTGGGATCAGGGTCGTGCCATCCAGGTTGGTCTCGATAGGCAAAAATTGCTTCCAACTTGGATACAAGAGATTCCTTTGCCAAAATGGCATTGCCAGTAGAGATTCCTCCACCTTCTGGTATGGCCAAAATGGTTTTTGGTGAAACATGGCGGTGTTGCCCGCTGCTGGTGGCCTTGACCATGAGAAGTCGGTGTTCCCCGATCATTCCAACGTTCTTCCCTTTGTTGCAAGTGGTCGTGGATGGAAGGGTGATTACACTTTGACCACCAACTTGAGATGCAGATGGCCCTGCAAAGATCACTGACGCATTGTCTTCAGTGATACCTGCAACTCCTTTCTTGCCCTTCCCCTTTGGTTGGCCTTTTGAGTTGAACCAACACTTCTCAATGGTACGGCCGGTTTTCCAGCATATGGCGCAACGATCCTTCTCCTGTTGACCTTTGCCACCTTTGTTGTTGTGGCAGTCTTTCCCTTTTCCTTTGGCCTCTTTTCCTTTGCCCTTCTTATTATCCTTTCCCTTGCCATCTTTTCCTTTCCCCTTTCCTTTGCCATCACCGACAAGGCTGATGTCCATGGCATCTGGATCTCTTGTGCGTGCGGCGGCTCCCGCATACGCGGCTGATGGCCTCCGCATACGCGGCTGATGGCCTCCAAACCTGCTTTGCTTGCAGATAGGACACCACCACCTCACGCACAGACTGATACGTGGAAAGGGTTCCAATGTGCATGGAAAGGTGTTGCTTCAGGGCGGTCGGCGCCTCAGTAAGGACTACAGTTCTTTTGTCTTCGTCACTGATGGCCTTACTGGGACCATATTCGGCCTCATATTTGTCAAGGTCAGCTTCCCACTCTTGGAGTGCCGCTGAAAACTCTGCTTCCTTTGCAGGAAACTTGGGACTGAGCAACGAGCGCCGCCAGATCAAACTCTTGGAGTGATTGTCTGGGGCCATTTCACGCCACAACAGTCTCCAAAACTCAAAACCATTTTGGTCTCGAATGCCACGGGCAATCTTACTTGCCACTGCCAATTCTTGAGTCCACGAGTTCAGCATTGCAAACAATTGCCTCCCTCGGGATTTGGCTTCGTCAGTCATATCGACTGGATCCACAAAACTGGTGAGCTTGCGTGCATTGTCCAAGTCTGCTGGAAAGTTTTCGTCCAGCAAAGCCAAGTATGTTTCTACTTGGAAACTGAACCGTTCCCATTGGTCTCGATCCTTTAAGGATTGAGGCTGTTTCACAGACTTGAGCACGTCAATATGATTGACCGGCTTACTGCTTCCGGCGGGTGTTCCCGCGCTCTGGAGCGCGGGAACTTGCCCTTGGGCGACGCCTACGTTCGCGGTCTGCTGCAAGGATTGCTGCAATAGTGCCATAACGCCTGTCAGGCGCTGGTCCAGCTCTTGCTTTTCCTGCTGCAGCTGGGCGTTCTGTTGCGCCTGGCTCTGATGGGCGATATTCAGCGCTTGCATCTGACTCGCTAGAGCATCCATCCTCAGCTGCATTTCGCCGATGACCTGTTGTGGGTCTGTCATCGCGTTCTTCTTCGGGCCTTTCGTCCACGACCTCAGTGGTCAATGGAGGCTTCGGTTGTTGGCTTGATTGGCTCAAAGCCCCTTGGATTTGGTCACACAAGTCCAATGCCTTACTCAGCTCGGCCTCAACTGCTGGGCCTTTGCTGTCGGCGGAGGACCGCGCGGTGCTCCCCGCAACTCCCGCTGCGTACAGTGGGGGTGCTTGGAGACGACGCTGCTCCAGCCACTTGGTTTGGGCTGCTACAGCTTCTGCTTCTCGCCTGGCGGTTTCCAGGTCAGGGATCTCGCACACCTCGTAGCTGCTGTAGCTCGAGGGCGAATCTCCCCACTCAACTTCCGTCTCGTTGCCAGATTCTTCTGCTGGCGCGTCAGCTGCCGCGGCTGCGATCTCTTCTGGGGCGCCGGGCTTCGCTGATGTAGTGCTCGTCCGGTACCCTTGGAGGAGTGGGCACGCGAACGGAGGAAGAAGCTGGTAGCTCCTCCTCTAGAACTTCTTCCAATTCTTCTTCTGGAATGGGCTCTTGTGACTTGGCCTTCGTCTCGGCCCTGTCTCTTCGCCTGCGATCCTTCCGAGGGACCAGGCTTACTTCAGCCTCTTCGTTCGCCTCTAAGGCTGCTTGGCCTGGGGGCGGGGCTGACCGCGCTCTCCTCTCGCTAGTGGACACCCGTGGGGGCCTACTTGGCTCGGGAGGAGCGGTGTCTCCTTGTTGCGGCTCTGTCTGAGTCGCTGCTTGCGCCTGTTGGGCTGCTAGCTCTGCCTGTCTTCGGCGTTCTTGTCCTCGATCGATCCGGCGCTGGGTCGCTGCAACGGATCGATGTCCACGACGATTCCTGTCTTGAGTGAATCGGCTATCTCTCCTTAGAGTTCGATTTGACCGGGCTGCCTCTTCCTGCCAGGTGGCGGCAGAGGACGCTCGGGAACGACGGTTCCAGCCTCTCGTCTCCGTAGAGGACGTTGGCTGCGTAGATCGGGCTCGGCTGTCCCAATCCCTGTTGTCTTGCCAAGAGCGGTCGTACCACTGGTCTTGGCCTTGCCAGTTTCGATCCCACCAACTGGAGGATCTATTCCACGGATCTACGTGATCCTGTCCTGAGGACGTCGTGTTGTTGGGGTTTACCACGTGCCTTGGCACGCGGGGCTACCCGCTGGGATTGGCGATGCCGATCTCGGCCTTAGCCGGCGGATCGACCCGCACTGAACCTTGGAGCGGAGGATCTACCCTCACAGCTCCGCTACCATGCAAACAGCGAAGTTACACGGTGGGTGCGTATTGGGCTCAAAAAACACAGGTGGTGACAACACAGTACTGTTGACTCGGTCACCTCACTTTTTTCCTCGAGTAGCACGGATGTGCTAAAAAGGGGCTGCGGTCACGTCAAGTGTCTTACATGACATGCCATCTCTACTCCTAGCTAGCTACTTAGCTCTACACTAGGTGTTTTACCCCTAGCAAGTTGCCAAAAGGAGAAAACAGCAAATTGCGGCGTGACAAAATATCGTCAATGAGAATGACGATGTAGAATAACGCCCTGCTGCCGAATTAGAACTCAACTAAGTACCACCATAAGCGCTCCAAGAAGCTGTCGTAAGCAGAGTATTCCTTCAAAGGCACGATGGCCAGTTAGTGAAGCAGGAGCAGATAGTGTCGCCAAAATCCAGGCCAAGACCCTGTCAATCGTCACGGATGTAACGGCTTTCAACGCAAAGATCACTACTGCTCGACTGCACATGATGAAAAAGCACGGACTGCAAAGCAGGAAAAAAAACGAGACAAATCTACAACCCAAGCATACCCCCCACTGGGCAACGGCTGTGTGCTCAGTGAAGGGCACGCAGCACCCCCCTGACAACGGCTGTGTGCCGAAGGAAGGCAGAAAATCGTGCATGAACTGAACTAACCAAACCATCAGGGAGAGGCTGGCAATACTGGGAGTACCAGCGGCCTCAACCTGTTCCAACGTCACCCGAGAGCAAGTGTGGGCCATCTCAGGGAAGTCGAACCAGATGTAAAAGTCCTATACTCGACCCAAGGACTGCATCACGAAGCAACCTCTGGCGTGACGTTCATCACCGTATCCCATGGTACCCAGTAGGTGTCTACCACATAATGCAAACGTGTGCGGGTCGTTCATCACAAAGAGAACAGACCGGCGAGATAACACGAAACGTAACACTGTAACAGCTTAAAGAGGTTGCCGAGGAAGTGGGAACCTGCAGGCTGCTGGGCAATAACGTCGAGAGAGTGGGGAAGACTTGCATCCCAAGAGTCGTATTCTGTCACCCTTCATCAGCTTGGTGTAGAGAGCGCGAGAGCTCCACACAGGGAGCCTCCAGATGAGTTCGTCCACCAATGCAGAAAAAAACGAAGTGATCGTAGTAATTTATAGCCTGCTGTGGCCTCATGCATGGCCAATGGACCACACTGAATAGTTGCAGATGCCCTTCTCACAGCTCAGCTCATGATAACATTATGCCCTTCGAATGCAACAGAACATTGATGGCATCGATGGCATCGATGGCATCGCGGTTGGGAAGTTGGTGTATTGCATGGAGAACGGCATGGTCAGCTAATGCAGCCGGAGAGGCATAGAGAACCTGCATTGTGCGACCGTTCCACGCCGAAAATTGAAACTGCACCACTCCAGGTCCAGGCACCGATGAAAAATGAGGCTTCACCGAAGCTACTAACAAGAGGTACATCCATGCAGTGCGCTGCCGTGCAACAAATATCACCATTCCCACAGACAAGGAATACCACCGGCCATGGTTCGCCCCAAACGGCAGCAGGGGGACGGAGAGGAGCAGAAAAGCAAACAGAGAAGACGACGGGGAAAGGTAGACAACGCAGGAAACAACGACACCGGACGGACAATAAGCGCGCGAAGTAGAAGCGTTACCGGAGGAGAAATTAATGTTTGTTCTGTTTCACTCTGGATCCGATTCAGGTGCAAGTCTCATGCCGACTCTCTTGGCGCGTCCACATCATCCACTACCAACATCCGCCACTTGAAACGAAGGCGTCCATTCAGGATGACGATGGGACTGATCAGAGAGGAAGTTTGAAATCAATAAACATAGATAGATGGGGAAAAGATAAAGAAAGGAATTGCAATTAACTTGGGTTGAATTGCAATTAATTTGGGTCTGGTTTTTTGAATGTGCTTTGGGCCATGTAGATCATATACATATATATATATATCTATTTAGATTAATAAGTCGAGTAGGGCTAACATCTACCTGCTAAAAAAAACTCCTATACCAGAAATGAAATGACGTGATTTTCTGGCTCTAGGGACAACTAAAGGATACTGGGACTGGATAACGGGGCTCACAAATTAGAAACAAGGAGAGATGGCATTAGCAATGAAAACCTCTCTAGATCATCTAATCATATGGGAGGAAGAAGCAGAACTAATCAATAAAAGACTGTCACATGCATGATAAAAAAAGTAGAATAATCAAGATCCCCTTGGCATTATAACGAAGCTTGTTAAGAGGGAAAACCAAGACCTGTAGTATATATATCTATTTATTTACTTATTTATCTATTTATTTATATGTTGATTTATGTGATGTTGCTCTTCATGTGCAGATATAGTTTGAACGGAAGTGCATATTTAGACATTTTCTATGGCATTTGCAATGTGATATGCACATATATATATATATATATATGTGTGTGTGTCTTGGGGGTCAGTGTCAGTGTTGGACATCCAAAAAGGTTGTCTCATAAAGACTATAAATATTTGTTGGTAAACCTTTTATATATATATAGTACATGCATACAGAAATGTATGCGATTCTCTTGGCGGCCTTTCTATCTATTTTCCTGCGAACCAAAGCCTCGGATTTGAGACTGAGCATGTCCACCATGTGTGTTACATGGTGCAAACTGATGCGTTTGGTTTTCAAACTGGTTGGAATAGTTCTCAACTAGCAAACAGGGGTTAGAGTGCTCAAACAAATCTAGATACCCCACCTTGGGCATATGAGCCTTTAGCTCAAATGACCAACCTTTGTGAACATGGAAACTTCGCTACACAGTTGCCACTTTCCACTGGGATCGCGTTTACACGTGGCAACGCTTCTGCTTTCTCTATCTTTCGCTTCTGTTATCATCTGCAACTTTGCACAGCGGGTGATCCGCTCAATTCGCTCAACCCGCTGGATTGAACTTCTCCTGCCTTTGACTCATCATCGCTGATGTCCAGAATGCCATTATCATGTACAAGGCGTTTGGCCTTTGCATCTCTTTGCTCACTGAAACCATGATTTGTCTGCGTTCCACGTAGACCTTCAGATTGGACTCGTCATCTACGACAACTTCTTACCACCCACGCACACCTGACCACATCTCGTTCTTGATGGAGACAATCTACAATTCGCCGATGTACCTTTTACATCCATTGCTACGGGCTCACTTCAAAACAAGATCTTTCCACCATCCAAAGACATTTACAATTCCTTCGTTCTGCTCTGACGACATGGACTGCGAGGAATTCACTCCCATCATTGCCAAAAGTACATCTTGACGATCTCTGGCAAAGGTCCAATCTCACAACTTCTCACTCCACAACCACATCACCCACAAGGACATCACACGCTTCAAGCAACTTTTTCCAGAGGCCATCTTTCACAATGACGAGCTACATCCCTTTGAATTTATTGTCCAGTAATCTACTACCAATGCCACCAAGACTTTCGCCGACCCATTGGTTTTTCGAAAATTGGACGATAGCCCCAAACCACATGATTAGTGGAGTGTCTGCCCCAGATTGGTTCCCGGCTAGCTAGGCGAGTAAGGTGGCGCCGTGCTTCATGAAGCTGGAGGTGCTACAGGAGATAACCATCCAATGTCCTCAAGTGCTACAGGAGGTGACCATCCCGAGAAGTGGCTGCACACAACGAGATGATAGCGACCAAGTGCTTCAAGCAGTCAAGTTTACTGACAAGAAAGTACTTTTTTTTGTGGTCGGCGCCCGTTGCCTTTCGGCGGGTCGCACTTGAGACTCCCGAGTGGACCACCAGGGATTCGAACCACCACCGGCAGTCTGTCAGCGCTGGCAAGACCAACGCCATACCAACTGAGCCATCGGGTCGCCTTACTGACAAGAAAGTACCTGTCTACACGTCGACCTTGATGAAGAATTTCAAACCGCCGGCTGTTTTACGGAAGTCATTCGTGGTTGCCAGATGAGGTAGTGGAGCCAGATGTCATGCGCGGCCTTCAGCCAGCAGGGGCAACCAGAGTCACGCTCGACGTCATTATCCCATCTTCCACAGGACCAACGCTAGAAAAGTGGAAGACTGGCCTTCCAACTACAGCCTACTGCAGCTCTGGCATGTAACAAAGGACATACACCAATTCGTTGACCAATTAAGAAACAAATGAACCGCCGCCATATGTTCTCTTATTGGAAGAGTCCTCTGCCAGCTACCGGCTCACTACAGTTCCATTGCATTGTCTTGAAGCCTGGAAGGCAGCATATGTCAACTCATGGATACACCGTCATGGAGCAGCCTGTGGCAAGGGATTTGTTTCAGAACTTAGCTGCCGGAATCATGCTTGAACCACAGCAGAGCAGCGACAACTCACTCTGCTCGCATCCTGCCGCTTCCAACACAAGCCAAGCGGGAATTATCTGCCACAAACTCCAAAAAAAGCAGGTTTTGGCTCCAAACTCGAAGCCAAAGTTTGATCCAAAAAATGAAGCCATTTTTGGTTTCGCTTAATGAAACAATAGAAGCGGCCTCCAGAAATTGAAGCTAAAAGTGGCTTCCGTCAAAAGAAACACAAACGGTCCAAAACGAAAAGAAATGCCCCGGGGCCAAAAAAAAGTCTCCCAATGAGTATGCCCAGCACCCCTTTTACAGATGCTCGCATAGCCGAGCCGCGTGTCCAGCATAAAGTTCCGGTCTTCAAACAGCGAAGCACGTAACTCTCTTCATGCGTCATCATGCCAGAAGTAAAGATCATACACCGGTCTTTTCTATGTCATGTTGGCACTGAGCAGGTACACACATTAGTCTCCAGAATCACAATACTTTCTGAGGCTTGAATTGGATTCAATGAGCTCCCCTCTACCCCCAATGCCAATGTTGACACGAGATTTAAACAGCCATGTCTGAACCAACAAACTGAGAAGGCCGGCGGAGTAATTCCAAGAGGCGTCCACATGCTTCAGCCAATAGAGAAGATGTGGAGTAAATATGGAGTAGACCATCCGCGGAGTAAAAAATGCAGAAATAGATGGCAGGGCCAATACAAAATGCGTGGAGTAATTTTGGCCCGTTTTAAGAATACACTGTTATTTATGGTGGAATAGAATTACTCCACGGCCAGTTCAAGCCGGAGGAAACCCACACACAGACACACCAGGCGTTAAGAGTCTACGGGGGTGGAGGGGTTGGATGCCGTACTACCCCCTGACATCTCATAGCCCAGCCTTCACTCTTGGGTTCTGCCACTTCTGCAACTTTTGAAAGGTCGGCAGCACTCGGCCTGGCAAGAAGGACGGGTGCAGGGCATTGTCAACCTTCAGGTGACCTGTAACATCATCATATGGTCTCTTCTTCTCAGCGTATGAAGCTGCAAGTGCCCAATGTCTCAACTCTAAATGTAGCAAGGCTTCCACACTTTTTTTTTTCCTCCCGGTTTGGCCGATTCGCACTAGGCACGGTCCTTACAATTGAGTAAGCGGTGAAAAGCATTCAGAAAAAGGACACGTGTGGTCCCTAAAACGCAGGCAAATCATCATATCAACACCAACCAAAACCAAAAAAGAGCAACCAAAAACGACCCGCAAATCCCCCAGCCAGATTTGCGTTTCGCCAAAAGGCAAAACAGCGAAGCAACAAAGAACGGGGCCGGGCCCAAACAAACAACCAAACCAACCATTCAGTGATTTGCCAAGGATACAGTGACAGAAGTCACTGCATCGTCATCAAAAACATGCAAACTAATTAGGTACTGCAGAACGAAAAAATATAGTGCACGATCACCCAGAATCTCATCTCCTGTAATCCGTTGCTGTTGCTCCAGCTCTCTGATAAGTAGCCAAGTCAGGAATCGTTGATAGTACAATTCGTACCAGTTGCCAGTCTCATTATCACAGTTAATCATATGAAGAGTAGCAAGGCTTCCACACTTGAAAAGACGTGAAAAATCGAACGCGCCGGTGCGGGATCTATCTAAGAGGCCTCCCGTTTGCACAACATCCAACATTGAAATTCCGGGGCAAGGGAATTTACACATCGAGCAAAGATGAACTCTAAAGCCAGCAGCCAGACTACAGACACAGTAGTTGCTGAGTGGCAAACTTCCTGTGAGACACATGGACCTGCTATTCTCTCTCAAACATTGAAGTCTGTACTAAAGCTTCCGGCAACATAAGCAAGCATCAACCCAACGGGAAAAGACTCGAGAAAAGCACGTTGCCAGTACTCTAGCATGCTGTCTTTTCATATGTACAAACCCCGAACAAACCTCAAGCAAACCTTGTTCAAACCTCAAATCTATGGGCGGAACCAGGCCATCAGGCGCGACAGGATTTAAAGGAAAGTTCAATTAATTTCTTTTTTGCGTGCGGCAACTGTAAATTTCCTCCGCTGCCTGGAATTGAAGTTTGATTGGGGTTTGTACATATGAAAAAACAATAGATCGAAGGTGCGGTCATGGCATTGCTTTCTCCAATAGAATGCGGGGCATAGAGACGTTTGCAAAGTATGTCTGGAGTTTGTAGATATGAAAACACAGCACATCGAAGGTGTCACCAGAAAGTGCTCATTCCTCAATGAAATGAGCTGCACGCAGACATGCACAAGGTTTGTTTGAGGTTTGCACAGGAAGAGGAACAAAGCGTTGCAAACAGAAGGACGGGCAAAAAATAGATGATCAAGACATACGGGAAGCAAGGTGTATGCAGATCCGCTGCATGGAATTTCCCGGTGCAAGCATGCGACTCCAACTATTTAACCTTAAAGCAT